ATATATATATGCATAAATGATAAATGGAGATTCAATTTTGATTAGGGTAAGAAGAGTTTAAATATAACAACAACAAAAATAATCTTACAAATTAATAATAATAAAAAACAAGAATATATGAAATTTACTACTTTGAATAATGGGATGAATACATTTAAAAATGAAAACGGAGAATAAGTTTTTTCTATTATATGCAATAATAAAAGTATTAACCATAAAAATAACAAAAAACAAAAACACTTCACCTTAACATTTGAATAAAAGACGTATGAGAGCTTCGAACGATTAAAAAAGCACAAAAGAATATATATATATATATATATATAAAATAGAAAATTTGGAAGAAGTAAAAAATAAAAATAAAAAATAGAAGAATGTGAACATTGATGTAGAAAAAAAGTGAGAATGTTTTCCGTATATAACTATCTAAATGTGGGTATTTATCAAAATATGAATTTGAACTCATAATATATGAGAATATTTAATGAAATCATTTATCATATACATTATCAAAGCCAAATTTTAATTATAATTGAAGAATATCTACAATACTATATTAGTATTGCATGTAAATGTTGTCCCGTATTAACTATGAAAACCTCTCTTTATGGATGGAATAACTTACAATCTCTACAGATTGAATACTGGAAACATCTCAAAAGTCAATATTTCATGTTAATTGATTATAATTAATAATTAATCAGGAGATGTACCATTAGTAAAGGAACACGATTCTACTGTATATATAACATATATATTATATTAAATTAGTGAAACGTAAAGTATCTTGAAGATATAATTATTTTTAATTTATTTAAATTTTCATTAATAATAAATTATAAATTAAATAGATCAAATACATTGTTAAAATTCTCTCAACAATTAATATATTATATTTAATTATTAAATATGTAATTTATCTTCATTAATGACTGCAACTTTGCTAATTATATATATATATATATATGCGCGCGTATATATTCTTAATAAAATTTGAATGGTTGCGGCAATTTTTTTACCGTGATATTTTTTTAATCATAAATAGTGCGTCAATTGATCCATTTTTAAAATGTAAAATAAAAAGTGTTGATATATTTTTTCCAATCTAAATTAAAAATATTTTTGACAATTTTTTTAGTTAATTTATTTTTATTTGTTTAAAACTTTGAGTCTTGTAGCTTTTTACACATGAATCAAATAATATTTAGTTTTGGGTTTAAATAATATTTGTTCTTAAGTATAGTAGTTGTGTAATTTTAATTTAATAATTTCAGTCTTTCAATTTTTAATTGAGTAATTTTAGTTTATAAAGTATTGTAATTGTATGATTTTAGTCTTTTGAAGTATTGTGATTATATAATTTTTACTTATTTAAGTTATATATATTAGTAATTTGAATAATAATAAATATATATTATTTAAAATGTGAATGTAAATTATAATATATGTAACTTAAATAAATAAAAAAATTAGACCAAAATCACACGATTACAATACTAAAGCATAAAAAAAACAACTAAACCTTAATTTTTATATATTTGAATTAAATTACCCTCAAAAGTAACATTAATGTTTTACTTAAATTTGTCCTAATTATCCTTGGATCTCTTTAATATTTCTACATACCGATTAAAAATATCATTAAAAAGTGAAAATATCATAATTTATTTTTTTAAAAATTTCTAAATGTTAAAAATGCATGTGAGACATGGAGGGTGCTTAACTAAGTATAGGATATAATTAAAAAAAATTATAAATATATATTAAAATCCTAAAAAGGTCCATATAAAAAAAATCTTAAAAAACCTAAAATTTTGAAATATTACCGAAAGTGGATTTTAAATGTTGATTTATTAGTACTCTTGAGTATCCAAGGAAGGATAATGAGTTTTAATGGTATATCATTAATAATAGTATATATTATTTAATTCATGTATTTATTTAATTTGTTTATTATTATTTTTATTTATTTTATATATAAATTTTAATTTATAAAAATGTAAAATCTAAAATAAAAAATAAAAGGCATTGATTTTTAAAAAAAATAATTAATAATAAATATTTCATACATACATAATTTTAAAAATCAAACCAGTTATCAAATTGATTAGATGACACAATTAAAAGATATAATTAATTATCAATATAAATTTTTTTTTACACTAACAATGTATAAATGATTAACTCATATTAATATCCCTCCTCAACCCCGAATAATATCTCCTCATGTGGTAGGATGCACACACAAAAATGGTACTTTAGTATAAAGAAATTGCTAAATTAGCAAATACCATGGACAATTCTTATATATGTGAATGTTCTTTATTTAAAATCACACTGTCTGTTGGAAGTAGAATATAATTTCTATTGTAACTTCTAATGTGAGTTGAAAACCATGGTATTTAAACTGGTAAAAGTAGAATATAATTTCTAATGTGAGTTAAAAACCATGGACACGTTTTTTATATTACAAATTTATCATCTTTTGTTTTTTTTGGGTAACAATATTACGAATTTATCTAAAACTATAAAAAAAAAGAGAGAAATTTTAAACAAAGATCATTTAATAAACAGAAATTATAAAACCACCTGGGATAGTTAAGTAAATTTACAATCTTCCTGTTGACGACACTTTAGCTACATAATGAGAATTTGTGACTCATGTCGAGAATAAAACTAATTTAGGATATAAACAAACATTGAACTGAAATAAGCAGAAGCTGACAAACTACATTTTAGAAAGAAAAACTAGTGGAAATTTATCTAAAAAGATTAAAGATGAATTTTAAGAATTCATATACTAAAAGCCACAACTATAACAGAAAAAAAAATACTAGAAGCTAGTACATATTGGCACTCTCTAATTTTGAATATATATAAAATAAAAAATCTCATGTTAGTATTAAATATAAATAAATTTTAATTAATTTCAACTTATTTAATACTATTATTCCTAAAATATTATTTCAATTGAGATTGTAGTTTCAATCTTTCTTCTTATTCTTGATATAAAGTTCTAACGCGGAGTAATTTAGAAAAATACTTACTCCTTCTGTCTTATAATAAGTATCGTCCTAGATTATTTTACACACACTAAGAAGAACTAATAAATAGGTGAAAGAAAATAATAATTTAACAAAATTGATTTTATGATTAATCTTCTTTACTAGAAATGATACAACATGAAACCTACTTTTTACATAATATTTAGACTAAATTATACTTTTGATCATTTATCTTAATTTTTAGATTTATTTTGATATTTTTTTAAATGTTCATTTAGGTCATTTACCTCCCAAATTTAGGTCAATTTTGCCTTTTTAATTTTTTTTTTTACTGATTTAAGACTTAAAATTTATGTCATTAGATTCACTTATATAAAAACTATCAAATGCAATTAAATTTCAAATCAAAATTATTATATACACGATGGAAATACAAAATTTCAAAAAATATAATTTCATACTTTTTTCTAGTTGTTTATGAGATATATTTTTCACACAATTTTCATTATGTTTATAATCCTTTTGAATTCAAATGTCAATCGCATTTCATAATTTTCATATAGGTAAATTTAATTTTACAATTTTTACGTCTTAAATCAATCAAAAGTTAATTCAAAATCGTGTTATAAAATTGAAAATAATCATTATTTTAAAAGGATTAAAATTGATCCAAATAAAAGATCAAAATAAACATTTTAATAGATAAAGAATCAAAGTAAATCTAAAAAGAATAAGATAAAAGACAAAAATATAATTTAATCTAATATTTATTAGGAGTATAGATGAAAGAAAAGATAATTAATATTGCAATAAAAAACTAACATGACATTTATATTTTCTTCTATTGCACATTTATTATGAGATAAAGATAATATTTTTCTTATTGGAATTAGTGAAATTAAATTATGTAAATTAACTTTCTTAATTACCATGAAACAATTTTATTTATTTTTACTTATATTCAAAATCAGAGCGAGTAAGTGCGTATAAACACTCTTTTATTAAGCGATCAGAATCCATGTTGAATCTTGGCAGAGACTCCAACAGATTTAAATCCATAAACAAAAGGTTAAATTTAGGCCCTGATCTGCATAAATAGTACGTAAGATACATGGTGATAGGTTCAAAATTCCTTAAACCAGAATCTATGGAAGCAGTAGAGTGTAGAGACCACAGCGTGTTATGAAGTCATATATATTTTATTGTATATTTCTGAGTTTTTCTAAGGTCACCTAATTGTGCAGTCCGATCATATAAAATTATTTTATTCCATATGATTATGTGCTAAGCGAAAATCCAATTCACGGATTATGTCACATAAAAGTAAAGCATGCATATATTACATCTTATTTTCACTTCACAGAATGTCAAGAAACAACCTAAGAATATATATAAAATAGAAACTACAACTTTAGCTGACAGAACTCAAATAAAAATAGCATTTGAGAAAAACTCCAAACATATCTTAAAAATTATAGATGAAGTTGTATAGTAAGTGACAGCATTCAAAATCTGAATACTCTCAAGTATAATAGTCTAAAACTAACTGTTAGAAAAATAAAATTGTTCAGAATTTTAAAGTGCAAAGTCATAATCGTGAAGATATATAAACTCACTACCACGGTACTCAAAAAGATACACAAGATACATATCACTTGGTCAAACATGCCAAGGCAATAACCATGACACTTAAGTCATGCCATAGCCTGTTCTTATTTAGACAAATACACAAACACATATATGTAATCATCTAGCACAGTTCAAACTTCAAACCACTTAAAAAGACACACCAACAGCTAGAAACTAGAAGGGTGGAAACAACAAAATTCCTTTTAAATAGCTAATGTCTAAGGTACACTAGTACAAGCTTACAATAGTACAAGCATTAAGCAATGCACTTCATTAAGCAGCTTTCCAAGATGAAAGTGGTGGAGTATCAGATTCCTTCCATGTAGCTACCTCTTCCGCGTATCTACCACCCTTGACAACATCTGCAGCAGCAAAGGACTCAAGTTCTGCCATTTCTTCTGGTGTTAGTTTAACAGACAAAGCCCCAATGTTTTGATTAAAGTTCTCAATTTTGGTTGTTCCAGGTATAGGGCACACGTCTTTTCCTTGGTGATGAACCCAGGCCAGGGCAAGTTGAGATGGAGTACATCCCTTTCTTGCAGCCATTTCAGTAACCCTCTCAAATATAGTATTATTCTGCTCAACGTTTTCAGGTTTGAATCTTGGTAGAGTCTGCAATAGATTTAAACAAACACAGAAGATTATATATAGGTATCAATGATGGACATTTAACAATATAACAAGGCAATTTCATTAATTTATATAGTGAGATACAAGGTGTCAGGCAGCGTTAATGATATACAAGTGGCACATGATCCAAATGAAGAAAAGTACATCACATTTTTCTTCTCTCTAAGCCATCCAATGTTCTCATTCTGTCATTAGTGCTCTCTTTTTTCATTTTCTTTTCTCTTTTTAACTTTTCTTTGGTCCTTCAATAACTGAACACAATTGTTATATAATGAAGATAATAACTAATGGAGATCACCACAGACAATAAGTATAAATGATTCAACACTAATATTAACAGAGATATTTGAATCATTAATGTTAGGACTAATTAAAGTTGAAAATTCTAGAGAGCCAAGGTTGGAAGTAGATGTTGTCACTGAGTGACTGTGACATTCAAGGGCCTTGAATAATCCAAGGTTCCAAAGCAGTCTAAAGATTTGGTTAAGAAAATGCACAAGAAATTGAAATGGATTTCAGAACTTGTGTAATAGAATGTTTTCTACAAACCTGCCGGTAATCATCCGGAGACAAATTCTCTAGCAGCTTTGTTCCCGATGAAAAGAATCCTCGCCCAAGAGGACTATATGCAACAATTCCAATACCAAGTTCCCTGAGAAGTAAAATTTAAAAGTCTTAAAGTTATAACACATATTGATGCAGTTTTATTGAATCATAAAACATGAAGTTTGTATATTAAATGACACCTGCAAGTTGGAATTATATCTTCCTCCACATCTCTTGACCATAGAGACCACTCCAACTGCACGGCTGTTATTGGATGAACTGCATGTGCTCTTCTGATTGTTGAAGCTGAGGCCTCAGACAGACCAATATATTTTATTTTTCCCTCCTCAATAAGTTTTTTAAGCTCTCCAATCTTACAATGCAAAAGCAAGGGAAAAACTTATCATATTCATACGTCGTCCTTTTACATATGTGAACAAATAGCTATTTCTGATGTCTAACGTAAAGTTCATAAAATGTCCATTACATGTTAAGTACTTGTGCAGATGTCACATGAAGTGGGAAAGTAACACAAGGATAAAATAAAGACAAGAATGAGGTTCATGAACAAAAATTCATTTAATTTTAGTGATTTGGGTCACACTATTTCACTCCTCAAAGACCACATGCTAATATAGTTATAGAGATTTATTGATCATCTATGGTTTCTATGATCTTGTTATTTCAATTTGCCTCAGAGAAGAACGTCAAGTGTCCATGCATGAACACGATAGAAAGCACAATTTGGCCCATTAGTAAGGTAGCCTGAGGAAATTAGCGGTAGAGTGATGATAACCAAAATCTGATGAGTGGTGAATAGCTTTTAAATCAAGAAAAATGCTAGCAACACTCACTATAACACTCTTGCTAATACTTTCTCTATTACCGGTTAAAAATCACAAATTTTGAGGCCTCTTATCACTGAATCCGAAGAGACTAATTTGTGATTTCTAATAAATAACAACCAATGATAAAGAGTGTTAGTAAGAAGAGAGAGTCTCTAGCGTTCTTCTTAAATCAAATAGTTTCAATCGGATGATGATCATAATTACCTAGTGTACAAAGAGTGTAAAATGCACACAAAATACATAGTAGTGAGAACACAGACAATGAAAACAAAAGCATAGAGAAAGAGTGGAACCGTGACTTCAATTGGCACACGAGTATCAATACGATGTTGGTAATAGAGATCGATGCAATCGATACCAAGTCTCTTTAAGCTTCCCTCACAAGCAGCCCTCACATATGTAGGATCACCACGAATCTCTCTTTTCCCATCAGCAAGGTTGATTCCAAACTTGGTAGCCAATTCAACCTTCTCCCTCACCCCTCCCTCCAGAGCCTGTGTCACATGCACACTAGATCATATTAATTATCATATCATATTATATACTATGTATCATATCATGGGTCAAAGCCTCAAAGGACAACTTAAAGCACAGGGCAAGCAAATTGAAAGCTAGAATTGTTATGATGTGAAAGAATGAAAAGGGTAGCAGAGGGTGAGAAGTAAGAACCTTTCCTAGAAGGACTTCGTTGGTGTGAGGGCCATAGATATCAGAAGTGTCGAGAAAAGTGACACCACTTTGGACAGCGTGGTGGACAAGAGCAATCATATCAGATTGAGGCTTAGGAGGACCATAGAATGCAGACATGCCCATGCACCCAAGTCCTTGCACAGACACCTTTAACCCTTCTGAACCCAACTTCATTCTACCCACTTTCGCCATTCCTAGTACTTCCACTAACAGTTACCTCAACACAGATACCACTATATATGTGGCGTTGAGTGAATTAATCTTAAATTGGTCATGACTATGACTATGAGACATGAGTCCTTTATAAGCCATCTAAGTTAAAGTTTGATCACTAAAAATCGGCCAAAACTATAATGATTAGTGGTACGAAACCTATGAAGCAACATACTTCATTTTGCCATATTTTAAACTTTAAAAATGTTATAAAAATCTTATTTAATCTTTGATATTTTAGAATATTCTATTGATACTTCTTATCAGTCATACCGAAACTTAGAGAGAGAAGTATCTATATTTTTCGAAAATTATAAAAATTTAATATAGTTAAATAAGATATAAAAATATACTTAAGGAAAAAAAAAATATAAATATATTTAATATAGAAATACTAAAACACTGCTCTCTATAAACTTAAAAATGAAAACTGTCCTTTTTATGAATATTTTTAGAGAAAAAAAAATTAATAGTTCATATAAAAACAATTTTGATTGATAATATTATTTTTATTTATAAATTAAAAAATATTTTGTACTTTTAAATATTTTAAAAAGTAAAATAAATAAAAATATAACAGTGTGAATGATTATTCAAAGTTAATTAATAATTATTAAAATTATTTATTGTTTCTTTTAATAATTGAGGATAATATTCTATTTATAAAAGATAATAGAGGAAATATTTTTGAGAAGTAACTAAATTGGAAGGTGAAAGCGGGAGAGAACAAACTAGGAAAATGAGATAAAATAAAAAGAAGAGAAAAAATAGTAAAATCATTGATGTAAATTTAATAAGATCAAAGGAGTTGGATACTAAGTTGTAAATATATTCAACCCACAGTTGAATTATTTAAATGATGTTTGAATTTGATCATTAATAAAAGTAATAATCTTTAATCATATTTTACTTATATTTAAGATAAAATTAAATTATTTAAAATAAAATTTTAAAACACTTATGAAATTTTTTTAAGACAAAGATGTATAAAAAAATCTTAAAACACTGATGGAAAAAAAAACTAACAGATAAAAATGAGTTATGTTTAAGTTCTGATGAAATTAAAGTTAATCACCTATATATTATTAATATAAAATTTTTTTATACTAATATTTTTTAATAATATTATGTCATTTACTTATTTAATTAAATAAAATAATTTAAAAAATATAATTAATTATTAATGTAAAATATTTTATATTAATAGTGTATAAATGATTATCTCAATAAATTTTAAGTTTACAATTTCTATACTCCACGGCTCTTTGAACATAGTGCGTCCTTTCTAGAAACATTATGAATTTGTTAAGTATGGGACAATTTCTATACTCCACGGCTCTTTGAGCATAGTGCCTCCCTTCTAGAAACATTATGAATTTGGGTCATTTGGGAATAAATAAATTCCCACTAACATTTGAAAGCTATAAATACTTGGTGCCACTTATTTTGTTCTTCTTTCTTTTTTAACATTAAAATGATACTGGACTTGCACCTGTACTGCTGCGTCAATTCGACACCTCAGTATAAGACACAGCTTGATATTACGGTTTTGCTTTTCTATTTTTCCCCTTAAATGTACCCTGTGTGGTTTCACTTCACTTCTTGCAAATGTAAATTAATTTTTAATTATCTGTTTAGAAAAATTGGGTAATTATATCTATAAATAAATCAATAAAATATTATTTTTCCTGATAAAAATTAATTCTAGCCTAAAATTTTATATAAATAAATGTTAGTAACAATTTTATTAATTAATTAAAATTTATTGAAAATATAAAGTTTAATGAATTAATGATTCTTTTTTATTTATAATTTTTAATAAATTTTAACTAATAAAAATAAATATATTAATGAAAAAATGTTAAAAAAATATGTTATTAATACTCTCATTAATATTAATACATAGTATATAGTCAAATCCCATCACTTATGAATTACTTTTTAAACACACCTATGAATTACTTTTTTTTTTTTTTTTTTTCCAAATTCCCACGCACTTCATCTCATATAGATATACTCATATCACGCAAAGTCAATTATTTGTACATTAATATTTTTACTTTATATTTAGTTTTTTTAGTGATTATTTGTTATTCATTTGCCAATCTTAATCTGTTTTATTTCTCTATATTGCTTTTTAATTATTATTATTATTATTATTTATTTTACACACTGTTGGGGTCCCACCATCATAAAGAGATGTCTCCTCATATATAGGATGTACATATGAAATGGTAGGAAGAAATTGCTAAATTAGCTAATAACGGAATATAATTTCTAGGATGAGATTGAAAACCATGGACCAAGAAGAAAATGATACAATAACATATTTTTTTCATGTATATTACACCCTTGATAGAATATGCCAAAGTAAAAGGCTAATTTCTCTGCCAATTCTTATGATGTTAATTTGTCAGACAAAGCTCAAATCTTTTGATTAAAGTTCTGGTTTAATTTGGTTGTTGGACACACCTTTTCATTGCTGATGAACCTTGACCAATGCAACCTGAGATGGAGTGAATCCCTTCTATTTCAAATTATGCAATCAGAATCCATGTTGGACTCTAGGCAGAAACTTCCCTGACATGCATAAATAGTAAGATACAAGGTGCCAGCTATGAAAATTCCTTAAACCAGAATCTATGGAAGCCACATAGGCCATAGCTTGTTATGAAGTCATATATATTTTATTGTATGTTTCTAATTTTTTTATGGTCACATAATTGTGCAGTCAGATCATATATAATTTTTTTTATTCCATGAATATGTGCTAAGCCAAAACCCAATTCACGGATTGTGTCACCTAAAAGTAAAGTATGCAAATATCAGAGCTTATCTCCACTTCACAGAATGTCAAGAAGCATCTATGGACATAAATAGAAACTAAAGCTCTAGCTGACAGAATTCAAATAAAAATAACATGTGAGAAAAACTCTAAACATATCTTAAAAGTTATATATAAGGTTCTATACTAAGTAATAGCATTCTGAATTTTAGAAATGCAAAGCCATAATCATGTAGATATTATAAACTCACTTCCGCTGTACTCAAAGATACACAAGATATTATCACTTAGGCTAATTTGCCAAGGCAATAACCACGACACTTAAGTCATGCTATAGCCTTTTCAGATGGTTGTATTATTTTATTTAGACAAATACATAAACAAATATATGGAATCATCCGGCAGAATTCAAACCACTTGAAAAGACACACCAACTGCTAGAAACTAGAAGGGTTGAAACAGCCAAATTCCTTTTAAATAAGGTACACTATTACAAGCATATAGTACAAGCATTAAGTAATGCACTTCATTAAGAAGCTTTCCAAGATGAAAGTGGTGGAGTATCCGATTTCTTCCATGTAGCCACCTCATCCATGTATCGATCACCCTTGACAACATCTGCAGCAGCAAAGGACTCAAGTTCTGCCATTTCTTCCGGTGATGAACCCAGGCCAGTGCAAGTTGAGATGGAGTACATCCCTTTCTTGCAGCCAGTTCAGTCACCCTCTCAAATATAGTATTATTCTGCTCAACGTTTTCAGGTTTCAATCTAGGCAGAATCTGCAGTAAATTTAAACAAACACAGAAGATTATATTTAGGTATCAATGATGGACATTTAAAAAGATAACAATGCAATTTCATTCATTTATATAGTGAGATAAAGGGTGTCAGAAATTGACATGAATTTCAGAACTTGTGTAATAGCATGTTTTCCACAAACCTTCCGGTAATCATCCTGTGTCAAATTCTCAAGCAGCTTTTTTCCTGATGAAAAGAATCCTCGCCCAAGAGGACTATATGCAACAATTCTAATACCAAGTTCCCTGAGAAGTAAAATTTAAAAGTCTTAAAGTTATAACTCATATTGATGCAGTTTTATTGAATCGTAGAACATAAAGTTTGTATATTAAATTAAATGACACCGGCAAGTTGGAATTATATCTTCCTCCACAACTCTTGACCATAGAGACCACTCCAACTGCACGGCTGTTATTGGATGAACTGCATGTGCTCTTCTGATTGTTGAAGCTGAGGCCTCAGACAGACCAGTATATTTTATTTTGCCCTCTTCAATAAGTTTTTTAAGCTCTCCAATCTTACAATAAAAAGCAAGGGAAAAACTTGAAGTCATCATTATTCATACGTCCTTCTACATATGTGAACAAATGGTTATTTGATATTTTTCTCATGTCCAACTTAAAGTTCCTAAAAATGTCCATTACATGTTTAAGCACATGTGCAGATATGACATGAAGTGGGAAAGTAACACAAATAAAATAAGGACAAGAAAAAGGCTCATAAACTTGGATGAACAAAAATTCCTCCAATTTAAGTGATTTGGGTCAAGTAGTTTCACTCCTCAAAGACCACAGGCTAATAATATATAGGTATAAGGTGATTTTACTCCTCACCTATATATAATATTATGCTCTTATTAATAGTCAATGTGAAATCTCCGTTGCATACACTTCAATCATGTCGGGCACCACTTTCATGTTGAGAATGATCTGATAATGGATCGATAGTTGATGATCTATTAAGCATTACAAAAATCAATAATCATTAAAGTAGACTCATATTATCTTAGAAAATGGATCATGGATCTAACTCATTCTTTCAAGTAAGACAAGAATTGCTCTCTACTTATATACACTATTCTCCACTTATACACACTATTTGACGTGGAATATCCAACAATTCCAATTTGTCTTGGAGAAGAATGTCAAGTGTGCATGAACTCGATTATATGCACAATTTGACCCAATGGTAAGAGCTAGCCTGAGGAAATTAGAGGAAGAATGATGATGGCCAAAATCTGATGAGTGATGAATAGCTTTTAAATCAAGTAGGATGGCCATAGTTTCCTGAAGTGTAAAAAGAAGGTAAAATGCACACAAAATACATAGTGGTGAGAACACAAAGAGAATTAAAACAAAAGCATAGAAAAAGAGTCGAACCGTGACTTCAATTGGCACACTAGTATCAACAGGATGTTGGTAATAGAGATCAATGCAATCGATGTCAAGTCTCTTCAAGCTTCCCTCACATGCAGCCCTCGCATAAGCTAGATCACCACGGATCTCTCTTTTCCCCCCAAGCAAAGCTGAGTCCAAACTTGGTAGCCAATTCAACCTTCTCTCTCATCCCTCCCTTCAGAGCCTGCAGCATACAAACAAATATGCACGCATGCAAAAATCACCGTAGAAATAAACTTGTCCTGAGATATGTGGGGTGTACTCCCAGGATCAATTCTAATAATGTTTGGCCAGCAGAAATCGTATCATGCATGAGCATATTAGTTCTCAGTTTTCAGAGATTGTCCATAGATATATTATATATATATATATCATACGCATATGCTTGCTCAAAGCACAGGCCTGTGCAGAATTAAACATGAAACAACACAGAATGAAAAGACTGGGAATTATCTTTCCTAGAAGTAGTTCGTTGGTGTGAGGGCCATAGACATCAGAAGTGTCAACAAAAGTGATATCGCTTTGGCCAGCGTGGTGGATAAAAGCAATCATATCAGCTTGAGGCTTAGGAGGACCATAGAATGCAGACATGCCCATGCACCCAAGTCCTTGCACAGACACCTCCAACCCTTCTGAACCCAACTTCATTTTACCCACTTTCGCCATTCCCAACATTTTCCACAACACAGATACCACTATATATATTGGGTTGAGTGAATTAATCTGAATTAGTTATGACTGTGAATGAGACATGAGTCCTTTATAAACCATGAAGTTAAAGTAAGTTTGGTCTCTCTCCTCTATATCCAGGACCACCGCTTCTCTAACTTGTCTCAATCTTTGTGCATGGTCAAATTTTATTATTATTTTCTTTTCAGAAATTGAAAAGTTTGATCTTGTGACATGAAATCGGCCAGAACTATACTGCTCCAAGGAATGATGCACTGAAAGGCATATTTTGGTCGCGTATTCGTATCAGAAAAGAATCACTTATAGTTTTCTATTGGAAAAACCTAACACTTCCCTCATAGATCATTAAAATAGGTTACTCAAAATTTATTCTCATATCCAGTCCAACAATGATAAACCTGAGACATTGTATTAAAAAAAATCCAAATTTCACGTCAACTAGAAATAAGACAAATAAAATGTTTATAAATTTGTTAATTTACACATTTTGATTGTAAAAGGCCTTATTTTATTTGCATCCATGCGCAATGCTAGTTAAAACGTGGTCAAAATCAGTGGATGCTCACATCTTAGTGTTGTTTGATGAAATGATTTGCAATTCCTTGTTTCTGTTCACTTCTCTACTTTCTTTTCTTGCATGACTGGATATTTCGGTTAGTTTAGCATTGAAATAGAAAACATCCATAGTTCTTGTTGTAGATGTGAGAAATTCACCCCATTGTACTCAAAGATTAGCGCTTCTGAAACAAGATATATTACTCAAGCTGATTTGCCGAGGTAATAATCATTCACACTAAAGTAAAAGTAATGCCATATCCTGTTTTTTTCATTTAGATATAAGCATAAACACATAAATGGATTTAATCAAAAAGGGTTATATAGCCAAATTCCATTCAAATGAGAAGGCTTGCCACTCATCCTGATATGTTTCTAAAGTTTTAGCAGCAAATATTTATTAGTATAAGCATTAAGCGATGCACTTCATCATACAGCTTTCCAAGAAGAAAGTGGTGGAGTATCAGATTCCTTCCATGTAGCAAAACTATCCATATACCTGTCACCCTTGACAGCATCTGCAGCAGTAAAAGACTCAAGTTCTGCCATTTCTTCTGGTGTTAGTTTGACAGATAAAGCCCCAATGTTCTGATTAAGGTTCTCAATTTTGGTGGTTCCAGGTATAGGGCACACGTCTTTTCCTTGGTGATGAACCCAAGCCAATGCAAGTTGAGATGGAGTACATCCCTTTCTTGCAGCCAATTCATTAACCCTCTCGAATATAGTCTTATTCTGCTCCAAATTTTCAGGTTGGAATCTAGGCAGAGCCTGCAGCAGATTTAAACATGTACACATAAGATTATATTAGGTATCAATGATTCACATTATAAATGATAACAATCAATTTCGCTGATTTAAATTGGGAGTAAGATACAAGGTGTGTGAAGCAGGAAAGATCCAATAATTCGGATCTGGGTAAGCATCAGTCATACACAAGCAACTGAGCTGATTCTGGCCAAGAGGAGTCAAAAGATTATATTCTTTTTAATGATTTCAGTCAGTGAGCAGTCACAATTACTGTGTGTTAAAGATATACTGGGGGGGGGGTCACGACAAATGATAAGAATGAATGATTCAGAAATTATAATACTAGGTATTTTAATCATTAATATAGGACTAATTAAAATTGAAAATTCCAAAGACAGCCATGGTTCGAAGTCAATGTCATTGAGTGCATGCGACATTCAATGACCTTGGAATAATCCTAGAAGCAGTGCTACAGTGTTGATAATGAAAGTGCACATTTGACATGAAATTTTGTAATAGCATGCTTTTCCACAAACCTGCCGGAAATCATCCTGTGTCAAATTCTGAAGCAACTTTGTTCCTGATGAAAAGAATCCTCGCCCAAGAGGACTATATGCAACAATTCCAATACCAAGTTCCCTAAGAAGTAAAAATTAAAAGTCATAAAGTTATAACTCATATTGTTGCAGTTTTATTGAATCCTATAAAGAGAACTGCTAGATTAAAAAAAAGAAAACATATATATATTAAATGACACCTGCAAGTTGGAATTATTTCTTCCTCCGCATCTCTTGACCATAGGGACCACTCCAACTGCACGGCTGTTATTGGATGAACTGCATGTGCTCTTCTGATTGTTGAAGCCGAGGCCTCAGACAGACCAATGTATTTTATTTTTCCTTCCTCGACAAGTTTTTTAAGCTCCCCAACCTTACCATACAAAAAGCAAAAGAAAAAAACTAAAGTCATCATACATTGTCTTTTTATACATATCAACAATTAGTTATCCTCATATAACTAACAATGATATCATCCAGGTCAGTTACATGTTGTAATTCAAATTTGTGGATGTGATGAGTGGGAAAGAACCACACAGAAGAAATTAGGAGAAAAACGATTCCTCTGCTTACAATTAATGTACAGAAATCATTGCTAGCTTTTGTGGTTATAGAATTTAACAGTTATGAGTCAATTGGTTCCACTCTTCTAATACATAATGGTATTAGAGCTTTATTGATGATCTATGAGTTCCATGGCCTTGTTAGCACAATTAGACCCAATGGCATGCTAGACTGAGGAAATTAGAAGAAGAATGGTGATGGTCTAAATCGAATGTATGAATAGCTTTTTATATCAAATAGTTCCATGCTTCATCCATGACAAAAACCCAGAACACTTCCAAACTCAGATATATCTTCGAAAGGTAAATTGGGGTTCCTATATAATACTTTAAATAATATAAAGATGTTGCTCATGGAACTGGTGTGACACAGGTGCATACACAGAAGAAGATAGGGAACCAGGAGAGACCTCCTGATTCCGACTCCATTGGAAAATTATAGTCTTATAGCATTTTATTCCAAATTGTACTACTGAATTGTCAAAAACCTGAAGAAAAGGGGAATATGGATGTACCAATATTAAACTTTATCATCTAGCAGATCTAGGCTCATGCAAGTGAAAATATTAACTGCCCTATATTAAGCTACAAATATAATTATAATTTGTCTCAAAACAAGAACCAGCAAAAGCATTGAAAAACAGTGGTTCCAACTTGAAAGGCAATACAACAGCAACAAAAGTCTTGACTTTCATAAACTTTTATATGCACGAGGTAGTAGAATCAGAGTAGGTGTGCAAAAAACAAGGTGAGACCAGCTATTGTTAACAAACAACAACAAAAGCCTTATCCCACAAACTGTTGCTAGATGGTGCAACTTAAGAGATGTGAGATGTGTGTGATAGGCATTCCTCTTTCTCGCCAAGTACAATGAAACATGTTGCTGAACTTATTGCAAAAAAGAAAAATGCAAAACAGTACACAAGTGTGGGATAAAAGAATCATATTTTGTCGAGGAGGTCAAGCTCACTTGATTGAGCAGAGTGAAAGAGTTGTTCTAAACTCCTTTGGTATCAAGATCATTCTAATAGATAAAAAAAAAAATTCATATTTTGAAAGTTACTACCCACAATTATCACATGAATTCGGTCAATCATAGCAATGGGTATGACACACGAAATCCTGCTTGTGCAAAGCAGCATTATTCTACATGAAAATTCCATAACATGTGTCAAAGATGGGAGGGTCCCTAACTAAAACCATTACAAGATCAAACTTCCATACACAGTGTCAAACAAATACAAAAAAGAAAAAAAGAGTAAAAAACAAAACAAAAAGCATAGAGAAAGAGTGGAACCGTGACTTCAATTGGCACACGAGTATCAATACGATGTTGGTAATAGAGATCGATGCAATCGATACCAAGTCTCTTTAAGCTTCCCTCACAAGCAGCCCTCACATATGTAGGATCACCACGAATCTCTCTTTTCCCATCAGCAAGGTTGATTCCAAACTTGGTAGCCAATTCAACCTTCTCCCTCACCCCTCCCTCCAGAGCCTGTGTCACATGCACACTTGATCATATAAATTATCATATCATATTATATACTATGTATCATATCATGTATATATGGTCAAAGCCTCAAATGACAACTTAAAGCACAGGGCAAGCAAATTGAAAGTTAGAATTGTTATGATGTGAAAGAATGAAAAGGGTAGCAGAGGGTGAGAAGTAAGAACCTTTCCTAGAAGGACTTCGTTGGTGTGAGGGCCATAGACATCAGAAGTGTCGAGAAAAGTGACACCACTTTGGACAGCGTGGTGGATAAGAGCAATCATATCAGATTGAGGCTTAGGAGGACCATAGAATGCAGACATGCCCATGCACCCAAGTCCTTGCACAGATACCTCCAACCCTTCTGAACCCAACTTCATTCTACCCACTTTCGCCATTCCTGTGATTGGATTACCACTTACCACAACACAGATTCCGGTGTGTATATCGGAGTGAAGTAAAATTTTGGCCTTGACTTTGACTTTGTGATGAGCTTTTATAGCAGTGAGATGAAAAATAACAAATTAATTCTTAATTTTTTGTTTTCATTGGTCATTTATGTCCTGCTGGCTGCAGCCGGCAAATTCTTAATTTTCTAGAACTCACAGTGTTACTTAAAAAGTTGATGAAAAGCTATTAGTTAGTCTAAAACTCTAAATAGTAAATACAATATTAGCAGGCTTCAAATCCTAGCACCTTACAAATTTTTAAATTTACGTAGGAAGTAGCAACTAATGATATCTTTATTTTTAAAATAAAGATAAAATTTTAACTCTTACTCATTTTAAAATAAAGTTGACGTACTTTGCTTTAGACTTTTTTTTTATACTTTTACTTTTAATTGAGAAAATTATATCTTTAAGTAATACTTTTATTTTTTCATTTTTATAATATTATTTATTATTTTTAGTGAATAAAATAAAAGCTTGTTATTATATGTTATTTTTTATGCTCATTTCCCTTTTTTTTTTTTTACTAGTTTACATTTTAAACTATTATATTATTATTGTTGTAAATTTGTAAGGTGCTAGGATTTGAAGCCTGGTATATTGTATTTAGAGTTTTAGACTAACTAATAGTTTTCCAGCAACTTTTAAAGTAAAAATTTGTAATACCGTGAGTTTTAGAAAATGGTTGTTGACTTTGTTTAAAATATTTGTTGCTATGTTAATTATTGTTTTATATTGATAATTTTTTAAATTAATTTTTTTATGAGTTTTAAATAGTTGGGAGTTTCTTTAGATAAGATATTGTTTGCCCCTGTGGAAGGAAGTATGAAGTTATTTTTTTCCTTCAAATTTAACGTTTATTTTAAGTTCTTGTAATTTTTAAAAAAAATAATACTTATTGTCTCTCAAAACCCCTATAAACATTAAAGATAATGTCCAATTGAGTCAATTATATAACATTAGATGAATTTAATATGATATTTCTATTAATAATAATATTAATAAATAAAAATTATATAACAAATTCAGTAATATGACTTTTATTTGACATTTTTATTAATGATATTTAAGTGAAATGATTAAAATAAGATTTTTTTTAATTATAAGACTAAAAAATTAATTTTAAATTTATGGAATCAAAATCAAATTTATACCGTTCAACTAAAACACATTTAAACCTTTTGATTTTTTTATTTTGTTAGTATTGTTTATACTATCTTTATTATTATCTTTTCGATTTGCATTAAAAATACCGCATAATAAAAAAATAATTCCTTTTGTGATGTAAAAATCATCAAAATGAATTTTGTTTTAATCAATTTATTTTTTCATATGAAAAATCAATATATTAAACCTTTATCAACATACCTAAAGGATCAAATTGTATCAGAATTATAAATTTCCTCAAAGATTTTACAAATATCAAATATGTAAAATATTTTACTCGAATTTTATGTATTTGCAAGAGATAAAATAGAATTCCGATTACTTGATTAAATAACATAAGTATTTTGATACTCATATCAATTCAAATTAATTATCTTATTTAAAAATAGATACTTTAAGTCCCTCTAACTTTAAAAATATGAAATTTTATTTTTATTATCAATTTGACATCCATTATTGTATGTTAAATTTTAATGTTGACATGTGATATGTCCTTACTAAAGTGTGACATTTAAATATTTTAAATATACTTTTTTTAAAAATATATAAAGATTTTTATTTATATTTATTTAAATATGTGATTAATATTTTTTTTAATTATAAAACTTCATTTGTATATTTTTTAATTTTTTATTTGAAAAATGTCACTGATGGCATGTGATTTAAGTTGTATTGGTGAATGATTATAGACTATTAATGTTAAAATTTGAAAGTCAAGAAATACAAATGGATGGTAATACAAAAATATTATTAAAAATAAAAGACTAAAGGCTTGATTAAAATCGTATATCGATAAAAAAAATAACAAAATAAAAAATATAATTAGCTAATTTTTATTTTTATTAGTTATAATAATTATAGTATTATTTAAATTTTTAGTATTTTATTAATATTTTTATATTATTTTCATTAATATTTTAACCTTATAATATTTGTTTATTATTTATAATTATTATTATTTTTATCAGTCATAATATTTATAGTATTATTTTACTTTAATTTTTTTTAATATTTTTATTAGTTTTTATATTATATTTACTAGTATTTTAACTTATACACATACATGTTCATTATATATAATATAATTA